AGTGTGCCGTGTGTTGGCGTGCTGGTGTTCCGCGTGGTGGCTGCTGCTCTTTGTTCCGCCGTCGTATTACAGTGGGCCGGGTGGGCCAGAAGACCGGTGGAGGCGGCCGAAACTCGAGACGCGTTGTGCGCTCCAGAGTCGCCAAATGGGACTCGAACCGAACGTGTGACCCCACCAGTGGATTGCTCTTAGCGACCCTGGAGCTCAAAACGCGTCCGGGATTTTGACCGCCCCCACCGGTCTTCTGGCCCACTGTGCGTCGTCGCTCTGCCTCTCTCTCGCTCTCCCGGGGCGTGTCCGCGGCGCGACGGGGCACGACGCAAAGCGGTCCGCGGCTTGGCAGATTGGACGGCCGCGACGCGGAATGGCACTAAGTTGTCGTGAAAACCGGCGGCGGAGGAAGAATGGCGGTGGCGGCGTTGGCGGCAGCCTGGCCCTTGGGAGAAAGAGGGGTGGGGGGACGGGGGTTGTTGGTCTTAAATTATCGCACTGCGGCTGCGTTGGCAGTCATTTGTTCTGCTGGGCGGCGTGGCGGCAGCAGCAGCAGCTTGGCCGCCCCTCCCCGCCGTGACAGTAGCGCCGGCGCGCCGCGGCTCCTCCAAGTAGTGCGTGACGCATTATGAGCGAGATGCCGACGATGCCGCGCGCGAAACGACGCCGGTTTGTGGACACCGCGGCCGCTTCCATGATGTGTGCGGTGTTATTTTTTTGCGAGCCGGCGTCCTCGGCTGGCCTCGGCTTGATGGCGGCGAGGGCCTCGCCCCGGGGCACGGCCACGGCCCCAGCCTCGGCCTCGGTGACGCCGGGGAGGGCTTATTGCGGCCGTCACCGCGCTCGCCGCGCTCGGCGTTAATATGAGCTTTTTGCCGGTCGCTGTCGCCGGGAGGGGTAACCCCTCAGGGGTTCCGAAGCGGAGCCGCGCCGCCCGGAGGGTCGCCCCCGGCCGCCCCTTGCTTTGCCCCCCGCCGTACCGAGCTAAGAAGGGTTCCAGGTGCAATATCGGAGGCCCCGTCGTCCCCGTCACTATACACCCTTGTCTGTGTGTGAGTGTGCGCGTGCGATTCCCGTTGCCTCAAGGCCCTTATTTCCCCCCCCCCCCCCCTCCCCGCGATGTTGTCCCAACGCGGAGCAGCGACGCGTTCGCCCCGTGCTGTCCCTGCCTGCCTCCCGCGCAGAGCGGAGGAAATGCCCGTCTAAATAACACTAAAAAATAGGAGAGATGAAAAGGACGAAAACTGGAGGGGGTGGGGTGGGGGGAGGGGTATTTGAGTGCGTTGCCGCGCGTTGCCTATTCACGGGCGTAATTCAAGCCGGTCGGTTCGCAGGCGACGCGCTTCCCACGGCGTCGTGCCTCTCTCTCTCTCTCTCTCGCTCTCTCGCTCTCGGCGCCACCGGGCAGGACGACGAACGGTGCCTCGCTGTTGTTTTTGTTTTTGTTTCCACGTCAATCAAGTCCCTGCCGATAAAGTGTGGGATGAGTAATATCGTCTGTTGATGATCCGTTTTTTTGCTCTCTTTTTTTTCGTCTTTTAATTTTCTCTAGTTTGTTTCTGTTTTCAAACGGATCGCTGTGAATCGCTCTGTGCTCTATGCCTCGCCTGGCCATGCCGGGCTTCGTTGTGTATTCCGTCACATCGCACGGCGAAGGCTATGCAGGGGGGGCCGTGATGCGCCCCTGAAGTGCGAGAGAGAGAGAGAGAGAGGAGAGAGAGAGACTGCGCGAGCTGGCGCTTTGATCAGCTCGGCCCGCCTCCCGGACAGCGTGTTGTTTTCCTTGTTTTCCTAAAGGCTCTCTCTCTCTCTGTTGTTGTGTGCTTTGTGCGCTCGTGTGATGAGCGCACCGCGCTCTAAATCTCGTTGTCATGACTAGCTGGTGCTACTACCGCGGCCTGCGTGGCCTCCACGTCCCCCGCGACCTCCGGATTACCACCACGCTCGGACACTGCTAAAGGCCTGCAGAGAGGACGATGATGACGACCGCGATGCTCGCCTCGGCCAAGAAGTCCGCGGCCTCCTCCTCCTCCTCCGCGGCGTGTCGGACGCGGCGACAGAACTCGGCGCGCAAACTCTGCCCGGAGCGAAGTTGAGTCAAGTTGCGTCAATAAAAGTTGGCGGCGGGTAGCGATGTAACCGCGTTCCGACTCCCCCCCCCCCCTTTTTCCACTGGAGGCTCTCCCCTTGCCTTACGTACCGCCCTTTGTATGCACTTGCCACGCCGCTGCGACCGCGATCCGCTCTAGACTGAGACGGACACCCGCCTTTCCACCCCCTGTTTCTTCTTCCCTCTGGATCCGCCCCTGCCGCGCAGCCCCTTTCGCACTGTAGGAGCCGCGGACGCGACGGCGCCGGGGGAACGCGGCAGTCTTTGACGCCGTCCTTCCGTCCTCGACGCGCCGGGCGCCCTGCCACGCCCTGCCACGCCCTGCCACGCCCTGCCGTCCCCGAGCTCCCAGCGAGCTTCTGGCTCTCCGAACAGTGATTTTGGCCGCTCTGTCCCTCTCGCACTCTACGGGCACCCCGCACGGGAGCGAGAGAGACGGGGCGACGAAGCGCGGCGCGGCCTTCCCCCCCCACGCGCCCCGCCGCCGTGCCGCCCGGAGGCCCCGGGGGCCCCGAAGTCCCTGACAGTGTGAAAGGGAAGAGAAGAGATTGTCGCCGTGGCCGGACTGGCTGGCCAGACCGGCTGGCCGGACCGGCGCGTGATATCGGTGTCTGTACCGAGGCTGGCCAACTTCTCTCGATGCCGCCTCGGATCGCGTTTCAGGCTTCACGCGCTCCTCCCTGCTCCCCCTGCGGGCGCCACGGCACGGCACGACACGGCACGGCGTTCATCCGTCCCGCGGGCGGACTACGCCGCGGGGGCCCTGGCCGAGGCCTTCGTCATGCTGCTGGATCACGCTTGCGCACACTGCCTTGACTTTTCTTCTTTTGGAATAATGGGGCCAGTGGTGCTGACCGCTGGCTTTTTCTTGTCCTATTAAGGGTGGTTCTTTTCTTTTCGCTGATTTTCTTTCCCTTTCCCTTTCTATTGAGGATTGTTTCTGCACTGTGCGCACAAATTGGTTGTTATGGCCGCTCTGTGCTCTGACCAACCAGGCCGCCCGTCCCGTCCCGTCGCCCCGGTGTGGTGCGCTCTCATCCCTGGCTGCCCGGCTCGTGAATGGCAATGGGTTCACAGGAAGCCGCCCGGTTCCGGCCAGGAAATGCCCCCCAGCGCACACACGCGTACACACGCACACACACGCACACACACACACACACACGCGTGCGAGGGGGGCAGGCCGGTCACGGCGTGCGCCGCGTGCGGTCGTGCGCGCGCCAGGCCGGGGTGGCGGCGGCCGGGGCGGCCGGGGGCGGCCGGGGGCTGCCGGGGGCGGGGGGCCCCCTTCAGGCCATCGATCGGTTTTCGCCGCGCCCGTCCCCGGCGCCACCCCCGGCGGCCCGCCCCCGACCCGCCCCCGGCTTGCCGCACGCCGCCCCCAACAAGGCCCCCACCCCCGTGCCGCTGGAGCGCCGTAACATGGGCAGCCGGCAATGGCTGCATTACCGTCGGAATGGCATCGCCCTGCATCGCCCTGATGGGTAATTCGCTGTGACGGACGGTCCGCCCGGCCCGCCTTGACGCCCAGCGCACGCAGCACGGCACGACCGATGCAGGCGCACTGGGCCAGAGGGCCGGTGCAGGCGGCAGAAACTCTAGACGCGTTTTGTGCTCCAACCAAACGTGTGACCCCACCAATGGATTCCTCGTTCGGAGAGCAATCCATTGGTGGGGTCACACGTTCGGGTCGAGTCCCATTAAGCGACTCTGCAGCTCAAAACGCGTCCGGAATTTTGACCGCCTCCACCGGTCTTCTGGCCCACTGTGCGACGGGGTTGTTGTGGCGGCTCGGCACCGGCGGGGGTATTTTGGTTGCTGGGTCCAGCGGGCCGCGCGCTGGCGAAGGTGGCCTGGACGGCACGCTCGGGGTTGTTTTGGGACACAAACGACCCTGAGAGGAAGGCCGCCCGTCGCTGCCTCGGCGCGTCGCGTGGCGCTGTCAGAGTGTTATGACTGTCAGGTCACCAGGCGGAAAACAGCGACAGAAAGGACAACGACAAAAAAGTGACACGTCTTAACGACGTCCCGGGCCGTGTCTTTAGTACTCTACGCGCTGTGCGGAAAGTTTTCTCAACGCCGGCCCCATGCTTTTATCTCGTTTGGGCTGCCCGGGCCGCCCCACACCAGCGAGAAAATGAAATCGCATATTTCACATGTCCGTGCCCCCCTCTCTCTTTCTTTCCAACTTTCTTTGCGCGTTTTCTTTTCCGGTTCCACTGTGCCCTCGCGGCCCTTGTGGATTTCGAACGGGTCGCCGTTCTGTCTCTCTCGCACCTCCGCGGAAGGCCCCGGGGCCGAGGGCGGGGCCGGGCGGTCTCGGCCCCACGACGGCGACCCCGCCTGCCTCCTGCTCTTCTTGTCGGCGTGCTTTGCGACGCGCGCCATTGGCGGTCGCGGCCACGACGGCCACCTCCTTCAGACTGGTCTCTCTCCTCTCACCTCCACGGAACGCCCAATGATTGCGAGAGAGACAGAGCGACGAAAACGACTCTCGGAATCAGTGTGCTGGCCCGACGCATCATGGGCGTCGTGCGATGGCTTTTCAACTTTTTGCCCGTTCGTGGCGCGACGCGGCGCTAATGCGGCGTGTGAGTGTGTTGTCGTCTCGGTGCGTGCCTGGAGGGGCCGACTGTCTGTCTGTCTTTCCGTCTGTGCGTGCGGGGCGGCTTCCTCACGCCCCGAGGGCGTAAAGGGTTAATAATAAAAGTGTAGGGGGACAGGGAGCGCCCCCATAATGGTGAGAAGAAAGACTGGCACGCACACGAGCAGCGAGAGGGGGGGGGATTCCCTAAATCTAAAACACGACGCGCGTGCGAACGGAACCGACCGGACCAGACGGGTGTAGAAGTGTGTTGTGAAGGAGGCGCGTGCATTGAACTCGTCTTTCCTCTGCTTGCAGGGTGCAGGCGGTGCAGGTGCCAGAATGACTTCGTGAGGGGGACTATGACAACGGCCGTGGCAGGTAAGAAACGCAAGGTCTTGAGTGGTCATCAGTGTGCTAGCCACCGTCAGTGGCGGGTCTTAAAGGCGGTGAACGGACTGGGGGTCATCGCCCCCCTAAAAAATCCCACATTCTCGAGAAAAACGTCTGATAGGCAGATTCCACGAATTCCTAGAATTGTATGCGCCCCTGCCTGTCGTGAGCCCTTCAAACCGCCGCCTGCAGCCGTGGTTCTAGGCAGGAGACCGAAACCTTTGGTGGATTTCAGTGTAGAGGCGGGACGAAATAAGAGTTCGTAGAAGCGCGCGGTGGCCGCCAGCATGGCCAGGGGCGCTGCGGTGAGCCGTGCGGCCCGTGCCCTTGCTTCCGGCTGGCTGGCTGCCTGGCTGCCGGGCTAGCGTGCGGTTTGTTGGTCTGTCTCAAAGGGCTGCACCGTGTCCGCGGACCGTCGAGTCAGAGTCGAGTCGAGTCGGCTCGCCAGTGGCGCGGCGTCACTTGATCCAAATACTTCCTGCGCGCCACGCCACGCCTCGCCACGCCACTCGGAATTGGGTTAGAGCAACTGCAGTGCCGTCTGCTGCAGCCGTGGCCTCGGCGGCTCGCCTTTGCAGCGCCAGTGCAGCCAGTGTAGCAGCGCCCCGCCCCGCCACCCCCGTCGCGATGATTGAAACCCGTGCGCGGCGACACTGTACACCTATGTACACCGGGCCGGGCTGGACACGGACTCGCTGGATAGGAAACCCCGCAGTGGTGACGGTGACCCGGCCGGACCCGGCGGCGCCCGGGCACGCTCTGTTGACTTTTTCTGTGGTCTGTGTGTGCCCACGTGAGTGTGTGTGTGTGTGCGTGTGTGTGGCTTCCACCACGCGCTGGGCTTGGCTGGCTTGGCCGCTGAACCGCGCCCCGCCACTCCAGGTCCCCCCGAACTGCGGTCAGGTGCGCCTGTGTGTGTGTGTGTGTGTGTTTACACACGCGCTCTCCATGGTGTGGGTGTGTGTACTCACGGCGCCGCGCAGTTGAAGACTATTTTTAATTTATTTCTTTTGGTTCCCATTGAGGCGATTGGCCGGCAGAAACTGGCGGCTCAACTAGACGAAAGAAAAATAGTGGTGGCGCGCCGGAATGCGGCGAATGCAGGGCCACTGCCAGTGGTGCCAGGAGCACACTGAGAGTCGTTTTCGTCGCTCTGTCTCTCTCGCACGCACGGGGCGTTCCGTATGAGTGCGAGAGGGACAGAGCGACGAAATCGACTCTCGGAATCTGTCTGGCGGCTGGTCCGAGGGCCAGCGCCGCAGCGCCGGCCGGGCAGCGTCGAGGTTGACAACCCTGATAACGGAGAACGCAGCCTGATTTGTGGCGGGGCGCGTCGCGGGGCGGGCAACACGCGCTGCGTTCCGTTCCGCCGCCCGCTCCACTGTGTGGTGATAATCCGCTGCACCGGCCAAGGCAAGAGAGAGAGACGCGCGAGGCGTGAGGAGGAGCTCGCTGTGAATTAAATTTGTCGCGACCGGGTGGCGCGCCGTGTCTCTCTTGTTGCTTTTTCAATCAGTCTCCTCCACCTGCCCCTCGAGGGAGGGTGGGGGGTTGTCGCCCCGCCGCGCTGTCATTAGTCTGATTCGTCGCTCCGTCTCTCTCGCACCCACGGCGCCGCGCCACGGGGCGCCCCCCGTGGCCGCGCGAGTGCGAGAGAGACGGAGCGGCGATTGTCGGGAATCGTCCCCGCTGGTTGTCGACCTCCCGAATGGACCGGATCGTGCCGACCCCGTCAATGGCGACGCTCTTGTCAAAGGCGTCGCGACGCCGAGGCGCGTCCGCCTGTCTGTCTGTCTGCCTGTCTGTCTGTCTGTCTGCCTGTCTGTCTGCCTGTCTGTCTGTCTGTCTGTCTGTCTGTCTGCCTGTCTGTCTGCCTGTCTGTCTGTCTGTCTGTCTGTCTGTCTGTCTGTCTGTCTGTCTGCCTGTCTATCTGTCTGTTCGTCCGCGGTGACGCAGCGCGGCCGACGCGGCCCCCACGTGCATTTACTCCACACTGCGGGGCGGCCTGCGGACCGAGGCGCGCGACCAAAGCGAAAACACATGCCGGCCTCGCCGCCGCCACGCCACCCGGCGCCGACGCGGTGCGGCCTGCGGACCGATTCAGAGGGTCGCTCTGTCTCTCTCGCTCACGTGGGGCGTCCCGTGAGGGGGCGAGAGAGACCGCCTGCCGGTGTGTGGCGTGTGACGTGCACCAGTGTGACACGGCGTGACGCGGCCAGTGACACGGACGGGGCGGTGACTGCATGAAGACTCTGGAGGGCAGTGCGCGTCTGCGCGTCATCCACGCAAGCAGCCCCCCCTTCCCCCTCCCCTCCGTCAACGCCACGCTCAAATATTGGGACAGTCGCGCTGCGCGCCGGGCTGGCAGGCACGGCGCACTCCAGCGGGCTGCAGGCTGATTCCGAGAGTCGTTTTCGTCGCTCTGTCTCTCTCGCACTTGTACGCAACGCCCCATGAGTGCGAGAGAGACAGAGCGACGAAAGCGCCTCTCGGTGACTTCCCTTCGGGATGGAATCGGGGCCGCGTCGGTCGGCACTCGGCACACCGCGCCCGGTCAAAGGCTGCCATGCAGAGCGGCTCCAATTTGCGGGGTTCAAAGGTCGCGCTGTTGAAGCGGTTGCACTGTAGGCGATGGGAGGGAGAGGGAAGAGTGAGAGAGTTAGGCCAGCCAGGCATACTCGCTCGCTCGCTGGGGGGGGGGGGGGGGAAATCCGAGGGCCCCGGGCACCCTTCGCCTTCGCCCGCCTCCAGGATAGCGACTTGCGAAACGAGGGTGGCGTGGAGAAAAACGGTGATATCACGCGAGCCCGCTTATCGCTCCGTTCGTCCGAGCCTCGGCCGATGTCACCCCCCCCCCTCCTCGCTGGGGGCCGTAGGGCGTTGGCGCAGTGGCGTAGCTGCATTTATGACGGGGGAGGGGCTTTGTCGCATGCGTCGGACCCAGCCGAGTGATTCCCAAGGATCGTTTCGCCACGCTCTGTCTCTCTCGCACCCCTAAGGATCGCCACGCGAGTGCGACAGAGACGGAGTGCAACCACGCGGCTGTGAGCCCCGTGCTGTCACTGCGGCAGGCAGGCCCGCCGTGCAGGCGCGCGGCCGGGACAGCCTACCCTCCCGGCGCTCTGGTGTCCCCTTAAACAGCACTGATTCCTTCGAGGAACCAACCGCTACGTACCACCATGTGCTTGGCTAAAGGGCTTCGGTGGCGGCGAAAACAGTGTAGGTGGCTAAGTGGCTACGCCGCTGCCGCGGCGTCCGGTGTTGTCCGGTGAAGAAGCTCCGTAATAACTCTGTCACGCTGCGCTGACCTGCACGCTGCACGCCGCGTGCGCTCTCTCTCGCACTCACGGGCCGTCCGCCGCAGGCCTTAGGGTGCGAGCGAGACGGAGGCAGCGCTGCACGCGCGTGCGTGGGAACGCGCCCGAGGTGGTTGCCCCGCGGATGCGCGGTGCGCCTACACTGGACACGAGGGTCTCATTATGCCGCTCCGCCTTTTATAATCTGCGCACCGCGGTTCATTACGGTGGTTAGGGTCGTTACCATTTTATAAGGCGGTTTGATGTGAATGGCGCCCGGTCTCCGCCCGGTCTGCGCGCCGCCGTGCCGGGGGTCTCGGAGGGGCCCAGGATGAGGCTCTCGCTCGCCGCGCGTGCCGCTCGTTTTGTTCGGTCTTCTGGCCCGCTGTGCAGCCCGGCCCGCTTTGCCAAGCTGTGGTTCGGCAGGGAAAACTATTCCGGCAGCTAGGAGGGCAGGGAAAACTATTCCGGCAGCTAGGAGGGCAGGGAAAACTATTCCGGCAGCTAGGAGGGCAGGGAAAACTATTCCGGCAGCTAGGAGGGCAGGAACTATCCGGCGCGGCAGGGAAAACTATTCCGGCAGCTAGGAGGGCAGGGAAAACTATTCCGGCAGCTAGGAGGGCAGGGAAAACTATTCCGGCAGCTAGGAGGGCAGGGAAAACTATTCCGGCAGCTAGGAGGGCAGGGAAAACTATTCCGGCAGCTAGGAGGGCAGGGAAAACTATTCCGGCAGCTAGGAGGGCAGGGAACTATTCGCAGCTACCGGCGGCTCCCGCCCTAGGGCCCCCCCACCTCCCCGCCTTCCCTCTCCCTCCCCCCTCCCTCCCTCCCTCCTTCTCCCTCCCTCACCCCCTCCGGTGAGCGGTTTCGGTACCGTGGGCTGTAAATAATACCTCCGCCGCCCCGGAGCCCTGCGAGGCCTGAGCCCAGGGCGGATATAACTCGCCGCGAGGCGTATATAAGGCCGCGCCGTGCAAAAAGCCCTGCCGGCCCGGCTCTACTCTCAAGGGCAGGGCGACGCCAGGGCGGCCCGAAGCAGCAGAGCAGCCCGGGGAAGCCCTGGGGAGGGAAGCCAGGGGCTGTGTGGCGGTTTCTTATCGTCGCGGTGCCGGCTCCTGACTCTTGCAAAGGTTAGGTGGCGGCGGGGTGCGGAGTTGCGCGTGTGTGTTTTGGGGGAGGGGGTTGCACACGTGTGTGTGTCTAGCGTCGATTAGACGGGGCGCTGACACGTGCGGGCAGTGCAAGAAGGCGTCGCCGCGGGGCGCGCTGCTTGCCGATCGCAGGGCCAACAGGGGGTTGGTTATTTGATCCCGCCGTCCAAACGCGCCAAACGCGTTCCAGCCTGGAGCCTCCAGGAAACGCTTCCGCACCGGCAGTCCGGCGTCTCGGGAGTCGGGGGCTCAAAGGCGGCCTCGCAACATCTGGCGCGAAACCCAAAGTAATCCCCCCTGAGAGGGACGGACGGCGCTGCCGGCACTCGCTGGCAATATGCCCCACTTTGCTGCCCGCTGGAGACGGGGTGCTGCCGGGGCCAGCCGCCCTGGAGCCCGCCTGGAGCCGTCCTGGAGACTTCCAGGACTATTCCAGGAGACCTCCAGGACCATTTTAGGAGAATTCCGAAACCCGTCCAAGACCCTTCAAGGCCGTCCTGGAGCTGTCCTGAAGCCGGCCTGGAGTCGTCCTGGAGCAACG